AAAAAAAAAAAAGAGCAGAGCAGAAATAAAGCACAGGGAGAGAAAAGTCATGGGCTGCTTCTACAAGATAGCCCATGACTTCTCGCTCTCCAGGTGCATTGCCAGGACTGTTTGTTGGATGGAGATGCAGGAAATGAGTCTGGAATTAACGAGAGGCCTTAAATGTTTTCAGAGGGTGAACTTGAAACTGCAAAGTTTTTGAGAGGTCTTTAAGCAAAGGAGTCACATGACTCTACCTTTAAAAAAAGATCACTTTAGCAGGGAAATGACCTGGCTGTCAGCTTGTGCTGGACATTGAGCTTACTGCTCAGAAAAGCTGGGTTTTCATTATAGCAAAAAGTGGAATGAGATTTTAAAGAAAATGTTAATGGCTAAAGAGATTTGTTCTCAAAACAACAACAACAAATGGAGTCAGCAGAGAAGCAGACAGGTGTATTTGATAGAAGGGAGGAGGAGAGCTGAGTTGTGTGACAATAATTCAGAAGGAATGGCAGAGATACAATTATCAGAAATGAGGAAAACAGGGTTGGGTGGTGGGTTTGAGATGTGTATTAGTGATGGGATGGGGGAGGACAGGCAGGTAGCACCAATCAAATTATAAATCTAGACAGAAGGTTTGCAGTCCCCACCTCCTACTTCCACTGCCACTCCTTCTCCACTTTCCAGTTTAAAACATTGATGAACTATGGCTCGGCACCTGTAGCACAGTGGTTATGGCACCAGCCACATACACTGAGGCTGGTGGGTTCAAACCCAGCCCAGGCCAGCTAAACAACAATGACAACTGCAATAAAAAAAAAAAAAAATAACCAGGCATTGTGGCAGGCACCTGTAGTCCCAGCTCCTTGGGAGGCTGAGGCAAGAGAATCGCTTAAGCCCAAGAGTTTGAGGTTGCTGTTAGCTTGTGATGCCATGACATTCTACCCAAGGCAACATAGTGAAACTCTGTCTCAAAAAAAATGCAAAACATTGATGAAGTAATGTTTTAAAATGGCTTTCAGAGACCAACCATTGTGGCTCATACCTGTAAACCTAGTACTGTAGAAGATGGGGCAGGTAGATCCCTGGAGCTCAGGAGTTGGAGGCCAGCCTGAGCAAGAGTGAAACCCCCATCTCTACCAAAAATAGAAAAACTAGGTAGGAGCCATAGTGGGCACCTATAGTCGCAGCTACTTGAGAGACTGAGGCAAGAGGATTGCTTAAGCCCAAGAGTTTGGGGTTGCTATGAACTATGATGCTATAGCACTTAACCCAGGGGGGTGATGGAGTGAGACTCTGTCTCAGAAAAAACTTTTCAGAATTGCCACAATAAGCTTATTCAGTCTTTAAAAAAATTTTTTTAAGAAATAAATTTGTCTTTTTATTTACTGAGATACCTTTTCCTTCTTGGAATCTTATGCAGTCTTAACCATTTGCTTGTTTCTCAAATAATGCTCATATTCCTTGGTTAAATACTCAGGCTCTGAAGTCAGATAGGTTGAGTTTGGAATCCTAACTATACTCCTTATCAGCTGTGGTACCTTCCTTGAGACAACTTACTTGACTTCTTGGTGCTTTCCTATTTCCTCAACTGTGAGATGGAGATAATATAAGCCAGGTCCAGTGGCTCATGCCTGTAATCCTAACACTCTGGGATACTGAGGCGGGTGGATTGGTTGAACACATGAGTTCAAGACCAGCCTGAGCAAAAAGTGAGACCCCCTCCATGTCTACTAAAAATAGAAAAACTGAGGCAAGAGAATCACTTAAGCCCAAAAGTTGGAGGTTGATGTGAGCTGTGATGCCAGGGC